TAACGAGCACCTCTTTCCACACGCGCGTCAGCACGAACTGCGCCTCCGGCTCGCACAGGCTGCTCTGCAGCGTGCCGAGCGTCTCTTCAAAGTAGTCGAGGAGGGGCACAATCGCCGCCTCGATCTCAGGGTCGCTCAGCGCGGGCCGCTTGGCGTCCGGCTCCACGGGCGGAATCGCGCTGCCCGCCGCCTGCGCGAGCGCGGATGCGTACAGCGCGCGCACATTGCCCACGACGCGCTCGACGCGCGCGCCGCGCACGAGCGAGCGCAGGACGCTGCGCGAGAGGAACTGCCGCATGAACAGGGACATGTGGTCGACGAGCACGCGCACCATATCGACCTCGCTGCGCTTCACGACGCGGAACGCATGCCCAAAGTCGTACAGGATGCCGTCGTGCGCCTCGTCCATGCTCACGCGCAGCAGGAGGCGCCCGCCCGCGCGGTCGAGCTCGAGCCACACGTCCTGCGACGCATGCTGCGCAAAGTCGCGCACGTCGAGGCACAGCGCGGCGCGGCCGACGAGCACGGGCGCCTCGCTCGCGGGCCGCCGCCACACACTCGCCGAGATCCAGCGCGGCGCATGGACGGGCACATCCACGACCTCGTCCCAGCGCGGCGTCGGCGTGTCAAACAGCGTGCGCGTTTGTGCGAGACGCGTGCCCTGCGCATCGCTCAGCGTGACAAACGTGTCGAGGCGCGGCACACGCTCGGCGGCGGGCGCCTGCAGCTCGGCCTGCACCATCTTGACGGCGAAGCGCCGCGGCGCCTCGCGCGCCTCGCCCGCGCGCGCATGCTGCTGCACAATGTCGGCCTGGAGGTCCGCATTGATCGCCTGGTACAGCACATCGAGCTGGCGGCGCGCGCGCTCCATATTGTTCAGCTTGACGCACGACCGCGGCTCGAGCAGAAACGGCGTCACGCGCTTCTCGCCCTGGATCGTCAGCTTCGCCTTGGCGACCCACGCCGCGTGCTTCGGCGGAAGCGACGCGAGTGCCTCGGTCGCGAAGGAAAGCGCCGGCGACGTGAGCGGCGGCGGCGGCGCCATCTCCGCCATGTACAGCGCCTCGAGCTCCTCGCAGTACAGCTCCACGAGCCGCCGCATCGAGTGCGCGAGCTGCGAGAAAAAGACGGCGAGGCCGTGGGCGTCCGGCCACGCAAGCGCTTGCAGCACCCGCACCTGCTGCGCAAGCGCATCAAACAGGTCGACCACCGACGTGCTGTGCTGCGTCTCGGCGTCGTCGACCGGCTCAAACGCATCGCTGCGCACCGCTCGCTGCACCCACGCGGCCGTGCGCTCCTCGCTCAGCGCGAGCCACAGCGAGACGTACGGCTCGAACCACGCAACGAGATCAAACGTCGGCGGCGTGCGCACCTGGGGCCAGCCTTGGAGCGCCCGCACGCGGCCGAGCAGGTCCCATGCCTCGTTCACCAGGCTGAGGTCGCGCCGCGCCTGCACCTGCTGCCACACGGCCTCGCGCACAGCGCCGACGTCGTTGAGGTAGAGGGGCACGAGCTGCGCGGCCACCACATGGGCCGGCTGCAGCCCAAGCACAGGCGCCGCACAGCGCGCCTGCAGCGCACGCAGCATGCGATCGAGCCAGGCGCCCAGCTCCACGAGCGCGCCCAGCGCAGTGGACGGCGTGGCAAGGAGCGCCTTGGCCTGTGCCGTGTACCGCTGCGTCGCGGACGCCACGAGCGCGGCCTCGAGCGCAGCAGCGCGCGTCGCTGGCGGCGCACGGCCAGCGAGTGAGTGCGCATCGGCGACGAGCGCCTGCGCCCGCCCGGCCATCGCGGCCGCCGCCTCGCTCTCGGGCGGCAGCGGCGCGTCCATATCTTGCAGCGCAGCGAGCACGAGCCGCAGGAGCGAGTCGAGCAGGCCGTCGAGCACGCGCACGAGCAGGTGCCGCTCCGTGTGCCGCCACTGCGACAGGGGCTGTGCGGCGAGCAGGCGCTCGAGCGCCTCCATCGCATCGGCGACGCACTCGAACGGGATCTCGCCCATGTCGTACTTGGCCTTGAAGAGGCGCAGGTGCGCGAGCGCGCGCAGCGCCGGCGACACGCGCCACCACAGCGCACATGTGTCGAGCAGGTCCGTATGCACAGCGGACAGAATGGACAGGGACACCTCTTCGTCGGCCGCCTTGACGCGGATCCCTGCGAGATCGCGCTCGAGGCACAGCGCAAGCAGCCGCTGGTACGCGGCTGGTGCATCTGGCGGGATGTATGTGAGCTCGTCGTCGTCGCCGAGATCCGCGGGCATGTCTGGCGTGGCGCGCCCGGCGTCGAGCGAGACGCGGCGGCGCGATGAGCTGTCGCTCGTGCTTGCCGCGCTGAGCAGGTCGGGGCGCGCATGGCACAGCTCAGAGACGAGCTGCGAGAGCTGGGCGAGCTCACTGGAGCGCCACTGGCGGTACGCGTCCGGCGAGACAAAGTCGTCGGCGGACGACTGGGTGTGGATGCGGAAAATGCACCGCTTCAGGTCAATCACGCCGGCCGGCAGCGTGCACGTCGTGCTGATCGACTGCAGATCAAGGCGCAGCTGCGGCACTGGCACGTCAAAGAGCGCGCCGGTGGCTGCGACGAGCGGCGCGTGGGCCGCGTCGGTGGGTGTGTCGCTCGGCGCGCGCCCGGGGCGCAGGCGCTGCTCGTACTCGCCGAGGCGCTCGAGCACGTCGCGCGACGTCGTCGGGATCGCACGCAGGCACTCGGACACGATGCGCATGAACAGATCGAGCTCCGTGTCGAGCTCCGCGCGGCGCTCTGGCTCGCTGGGCATGCGCTGCTGCAGCGACGTCTGTGCGACCGCTGTGAACTGCAAGAGGACCTCTTCGATGCTGCGGTGCTCCCTGAACCGCTTCTGTATGCTCTCGTCGCGAAGTGTCGCAGCAAAGGCATCGGCCGTGGTGACAAAGGCGGGCGCACGGTACAGCGGATCGCGCGCGGCCGCCACGCGCTCGACGCGCTCGGCGAGGCGCTTGACGAATTTTTCGGGGAAGCGTGCCTCGCGCGTCGCGCTGGGCAGGCGTAGGTCGCGCATGCGCTCCGCGAGGCCGGAGCGATCAAAAGAGCGCCGCGGCGCATCGGGTGGCGTCATTGTGCCGGGCGCTGGGCCAGGCGCGGTGGCGCTCGCGGCGGGCGCGCGCTCGTGCTCCACGAGCTGCGCGAGGTATGCTGTCTGTAGTGTAAACACATACACGTCGCCATCCGTCAGGCTACGGCGCTGAGCACTGCCGGCAGACCCGCTGCCACGCAGCATCGCTGTGCGCGTCGTGCAACTCCGACGCACGGATCGAGGAGGGAGCACGTGGCTGAGTCAGCCACACGCGCGTGGCGAGCGGGCCGGGTTTTTCTTTTCCTGGAACCACGACATGTCGAAGGCGGACGAGGCGGACGACCTGTACGCCGATCTGTACGGAGAGGAGGCGGAGCCGGCCGTGGCTGCTCCAGCGGCAGCGCCCAAGGCGGAGCCGGCGCCGGCAGCCGCGACGCCCGCTGCGCCGGTCGCGGCGGCGAAGCCGGAGGTGCCGGCGACGACGTTTATCCCGGGGCAGCCTGCGCCGCCGCCGCAGGACTCGGCAGAGGCGCGACAGGCCGCTGCGGCGCGTGGTGAGCACATTGCGCCGCAGGACCTGCCAGATGAAGGGTGAGTACTTGACATGCGTGCATGTCGTAGCACGTCCGGGCGAGCCTTGGACGAGTAGAGAGGACGTTTGTTAGACTAGCCACAGACCCTTAGCATGCAAGCCTGGACCTCTGGACGTGCAAGTGCGGTCCGAGTAGATACTGACGCGGCAGAAAAATGTTTGTGGGTGGCCTCAACTGGGACACGGACGAGGAGAGCCTGCGGCGCTACTTTGGGCAGTTTGGCCCCGTGACGTCGTGCACGGTGATGCGCGACAATGCGTCGGGCCGCTCGCGCGGCTTTGCGTTCGTCACGTTCTCGGACCCCAAGTCGGTGAATGCCGTGATGGTGCGCGAGCACTACCTGGACGGCAAGATTATTGACCCGAAGCGTGCGATTCCGCGCCCCGAACAGTCCCGCACGCAAAAGTGCTTTGTGGGTGGGCTGCCGCAGACGGTGACGCAGGACTCGTTTAAGCAGCTCTTCCAGCAGTTTGGCCACGTCCTCGACAGCACCGTGATGATGGACAAGGACACGGGCCGGCCGCGTGGGTTTGGCTTTGTTACATTTGAGAATGATGAGGGTGTAGAGAATACACTGGCGCACCAGCCGCTCATGCTGGACGGCAAGCAGATCGAGGTGAAGCGCGCGCAGTCGCGTGGCCAGCCGCAGCCGAACGCGGCGCCGAACCGCTACAGTGCGGATCCTGCGCGCGGCAGCAATGCCCAGGCGCCGCTGCGTGCGTGGGGCGCGCCGGCGCCCGCAGCCGCAGACGCCAGCAAGGGTGCGCCGGCTGGCGGCGCGTTTGATCCGCAGGCCATGGCCAAAATGTACCAGCAGATGGGCTGGGGCAGCTCGGCGTGGAACCCCCAGATGATGTGGCAGCAAATGATGGCCGCGTACATGGGTGGCGCCGCCGGCAAGGGCGGCTGGGGCATGCCGGGTATGCCGCCGGGTGGTGCTGCCCCAAGCGGTGGCCGACCGGGCAGCAACGACCATGGTTGGGGCGCTCGAGGCGGCAGTGGCAGCGACGATGCGCGCGGCCGCTCGGGTAGTAGCGGTGGCCACCACCAGCGTGAGCGCTCACCGACGCGCGGTTCGCGCAACTATGACGAACGTAGTCGGTTTTGAGTAGATGGCACCATGTACAAAAGGATTGGGGATGGGTTTCAGGAGAAAGGAGGGGGCTAGAGTGTGAGGCAAAAAGTGGACGAGACGGGATTTGAACCCGGGACCTTCTGCTAATTCAAGGTTGGACCCTTGTTCCGTCGCAATTCAGTGCGAAGCAGACGTCATACCACTAGACCACACGCCCGTGCTCGACGAATTTGGTGGAGCTATGGTGCTAAAACGCGTACGATAAAACCGTCGTCAAAAATGGACGAGACGAGATTTGAACCCGGGACCTTCTGCTAATTCAAGGTGTAACCCCTGTTCCGTCGCAAGTCGGTGCGAAGCAGACGTCATACCACTAGACCACACGCCCTAAAGACGATGATCGGGGTGAGGAAGCCACTTTTGTTGTTGTAAGGGCCGAAGATAAGATCGCACTCGACCCCAGTCATTGGTCACATGTGTTGGATGGTTCAGGCTCCTGCATAGATAACGCCATCATTTGCCTATTCCCTGCAGCTGGCAAGAATGCCGTCACTATCAAGTGATAGGCACAGGCACAAGTACAGGCACGACTCCATAAAGAGTAGACCCGGTCCCACCTCGCGGCCTCCTTAGCCATGTCGAGTACGTATGCGGACCTAACGTGGAGCCGCGGCCGAATTTGACCATACGTATGCGGCCGATGCCTTGGCCAACCAACTTCGGTACAATAAGCATGTGAGCGATATGGGGCAGGAGCATGACCTGCTGCCAGCGGGCGTGGAGCACTTCACCGATGCAAAGGCCGTCGACGAGAGCGACGACTGGCACTTTCCCACCGAGGAGGAGCGCCGCACCTTGCGCCGCGTCTCGGAAAAGATGAACTGGCCTGCGTTTGCGATTTGCATATGTGAGTTTGCCGAGCGGTTCAGCTACTATGGCGCGACGCAAGTGTACTCCAACTTTATCTCCAAGCCTCGGCCCGTCGTGCATGGCCAGCTTTCGCGAACGGGTGCCAACCACGGCACCGACTCGACGTCCGGCGCGCTGGGCCTTGGCACGGTCGCCTCGCAGGGCCTGACGCTGTTCAATACGTTCTGGTGCTACGTCACGCCGCTGCTGGCCGGCTGGCTGGCCGATGCCTACCTAGGCCGCTTTCCAATCATCTGCTATGGCACGGTCATTGCGCAGGTGGGCCATATTCTCCTCACAGTGTCGGCCATCCCCGGCGTGATCGACAACCAGAAGGGTGCCGAGGCGTGCTTTGTCATTGCGCTGATCATCATGGGCACTGGTACGGGTGTGTTCAAGGCGAGCTGCTCCGTGCTGGTGGCCGAGCAGATCAAGATCAAGCAGCTGACGGTCATTACACTCAAGTCGGGCGAGAAGGTCATTGTGGACCCGGCGCTGACGACGGCTCGCACCTACATGTGGTACTACGAGATGATCAACCTGGGCTCGCTTGCCGGCCAGCTGGGTATGATCTATGCGGAGCAGAATGTCGGCTACTGGCTGGCGTACCTGCTGCCGACGCTCGTCTTCTTCCTGCCGTTCCCGGTGCTGTGGTTTGGCCGCCACTACTACAAGTCGGAGCCGCCGAATGGCTCGGTGCTCACGCAGGCGTGCGGAGCGCTGTGGCTCTGCATAAAGAACACACTGAGCTGGAACCCGTGGACGTTTATGAGAAAGTATGGCACGGACGAGTTTTGGTCGTATGCGCGCCCGTCGACGTTCCGCGGTGCGGTGAGGCCGAAATGGATGACGTACGACGACCGCTGGGTCGACCAGCTGGACCGCGGTGTCAAGGCGTGCAATATCTTTCTGTTGTTTCCCCTGTACTGGCTGTGCTACAACCAGATTACCAACAATTTGATTGTGCAGGCGGGTCAGATGGACATGGGCGGCGCGCCGAACGAGCTCGTGTCGCAGCTGGACCCGATCTTTATTATCGTGTTTGTGCTGCTCTTCCAGTTTGTGCTGTATCCCGCGTGTGAGCGCTACAACATTCCCCTGACGCCGCTCAAGCGTATCACGATCGGTTTCTTCCTCGCGAGCTTCGCGATGGTGTGGGCGGCGGTGCTGCAGCACTACATATACAAGACGAGCCCGTGTGGCACGCGCGTCGGCGACAAACACCACTATGCGCCGGATGGCTCCAAATGCTCGCTTCTGAAGAACTCGTCGAGCCTGAGCATGTGGGTGTCGTCCGGCTCGTACGTGCTGATTGCGTTCAGTGAGCTGTTCGCGTCGGTCACGTCGATGGAAGTCGCGATGATCATGGCGCCGAAGAACATGCGCTCGATTGTCATGGCGGTCGGTACGTTTACGACCGCGGTCGCCTCGGCCATCGGTGAGGCGTTTATTGGGCTGTCACAGAACCCCAACTGGGTCATCAACTATGGCCTGTTTGCCGGTCTCGCGTTTGTGGGCGGCATTCTGTTCTGGCTGTGCTTCCGCAACATTGACCGCAACCAGGACTATCTAAATATGATTGGGCAGGAGACATTCGAGGAGCAGGTCGCGCACGGCGCGGAGCCCGACGTGTCGGACGAGAAGGCCCAAGTCGTGTAGTGGGTGGAGTTATGGAAAAGGGCCAAATTGTCGTTACATATCTACATAGCCGCCCATGGCGCCGCCCGCGGCGCCGTCCGTGTCAGCTGCATACGCATCGAGGGGGGCCTCGGGGCCAGGGACTGGCGCACCGGCGCCGTAGGCGGGCCACATGGCGGGTGCATAGGGCGCGGCGCCGTCCGCGCCCAGACGCACCTCCTTGGCCCAGGTCTGCTTGAGCGAGCCCATCTGGACGATGAGCTTGGTGCACGCCTGCTGCAGCACCTCGGCGGGCGTCTGCGACCCGTCTGTCTGGACCTTGACGAGCACGCGCGGCTCGAGGGGGTGCGGCACCTTGTACCCACAGAAGAGGACGCCCGGCTGCGCCAGCACCGCGTGGCGGAGCATGTTGCCGAGGGTATGGTCCTCCTTATTGAACACGAACGTGGCAGCGTTCGGCAGGCGCATATCCTCCTGGATCTCGATACGCTGTTCCCCCGGCTGCAGGAGGAACAGGTTGAACCGGTCTGGCGCGTTCGCCATCGTGCAGAGGGCTGGTGTCAGTGCCCAACGAGGCGCGGCGGCGGTCCTCATATACCGTTGTAGTTTTTTGAGAAATCATTGTCATTGCCTTGCCAGGCTCAGACAGTGTGAATAAAGCGTAATCTTCGGACCTGCCGCGCCAGGACATACCTCGTAGCGTCGCCGAAGAAAAACGCCAGCGGCCGCGGCCGACGTCCCCCGTTCCGGCCACGTGACTCGGCCGATCGCTACCCCCGCGCCCCGCCGGTTGGGCTCCACGCATGTCGGACACGGGGCCTGCGGCCAGCGGGCCGCGCGCCGATATGGTGCAGAGTGCGATCCAGTTCCTCGAAGATCCAAAGGTGCAGAGCTCGCCGGTTTCGCAGCGGATCAGCTTTCTCGAGTCGAAGGGCCTGACGCCGCAGGAAATTGATGTGGCGTTGGGCCAAGTGGGGCGCCCGGGCGCGGCACCGGCGCCGCGGGCGCCGTACCCGATGATGCCGGCGTACCCTCCCGCACGGACGCAGCGCGACTGGCGCGACTGGTTTATCATGGCGGTCGTGGCCGGCACGGTCGGCTACGGCATCGCCGCCCTGGCGCGCCGCTACCTGTACCCCCACTTGCAGCCGCCGAACCAGACGGCGCTCGAGGAGGAGCGCGATGCGCTCGCGGCCAAGTACGACGAGGTCGCGCTGCACCTCGAGGAGCTCGACCAGACGACGGAGGCGATGAGCCAGGGTCTCGCGGCGCAGCAGGCGGCCATTGCCGAGAGCGTGCAAGGCGTCAACGATATGGTCGCCGACGCACGCACGCGCGAGGAGCAGCGCGACAAGGACATGGAAAAGATGCGCGACGATGTCGAGGAGCTGCGGACGGATGTCCAGGGCATGTTCGACCGCGCGCGCGAGGCGCAGGTCTCGGCGCTGTCCGAGCTGCAGTCGGAGCTCAAGTCGCTCCGCTCGCTGCTCGTATCGCGGGGCGGGCTCTCTGCGGGCAGCACCGAGCCGGCCGCGGACGACGCGCCGCCTGCGCGCGCTGCGCCGACGATCCCCGCGTGGCAGCTAGCTGAGCAAAACGAGTAGATAGTCTACAAAGGCGCATCGATGCCCCGCATGACGCGCCCCAAGAGGCCCTGCGCCATATCGCGCGCGCCACTCGCGACCTGCCCGAGGTCGTGGCTCTCGCCCCATGGCCCGGACCCCAGGCGCAGCGGCGGCGGCCCACGGCTCCCGAGTGCGGGCGGCGCCCGCGCAAGCGTCGGGTGCCGCGCAGCCGCATGCTGTGCCATATCGAGGAACGAGCGGGAGCGGTGCACGGTCGTGCCGCCCAGCAGGAAGCGCGTGCCGGGCCAGGCCGGCGCCGCAGCGCCAGCGGCGCCGTTGAGGAGGGCGATCATGCGTGCCTCCTCGTACGTCGTGCCGCCAATCACAAACACGATCACATCCTGGGGGCGCGTGGGCGGCCCGCCGGGGTACACGGTGGCCGGCGCATCGAGCGCGTTGGCATCGGAGGCGAACGGGTACTGCGCGGTGCGCAGCTTGCCGCGCATGAGCTGGTCGAGCGTCTGCACGAGGTGCGGCGTGTGCTGTGTATAGACATTGTCGACGCCCTTGAGGCCGCGGAGCGCGCTCTTGCCGCGCGCAAACAGGTTCTCGTTCGCGAACAGGTCGCCCTGCCGCTGGTCAGCGCCGGCGAGGTTGAGGAGGACATAGACCATCGCGACGTCGCTCTCTGGCACGCCGACGTCGATCAGCTGGCGCACCACGGCCTCGATCTGGTGGCTGCCGAGGGTCTGGTAGCGCAGCGCATAGAGGATCGCGACGCGCAGCTTGGCCTCCGCGCTGATTTGGGGGTCCGCGAGGAGCGACTGCACGTTCTGGGTCAGTGGCGCGGCGTACCTTGAGATCGCTCGCGTGGCTCTCGCGCGTCGCGAGGCTCTGCTCGAGCTCGCTCACTGTGAGGAGGCGGCGCGCGTCGACGAGTGCGCTGAGCTCGCCGAGGAGCGCGACGTGCTTGCTGACATTGCCGCGCAGGCGCTGAAACTCGGGGTACGCCTCGACGAAGCGCTTCATATCCTGCACCGTCTCGATGGTGGCGGTCGACGCGGAGCGCGCCTGGAACTGCACGACGTACTCCTTGATCGAGGCGCCGAGGTCGCCAAAGTTGTCGTACAGGTTGGCCGCAAAGAACGGGTCGTGGTCGACGGACAGCACAATGTCCTGCGCGCCCTGCTCGGTGTGCATCGTCGTGCGCCCATTGTCGATGCCAAGCAGCTCGTGCACCATCGCCTGGTACGTCCACGGCGTGAGCAGCGGCGTC